ACACATGTACAGGTTAGGGACTGGCCAAGGATCCACGGACAACTTTCACAGATATTTTTTGGTTGTCTTTTCTGCAACCCCTTCCTCTCCACTGTCCTGCAACTCTGACCCCTACCTAATCCCAGACATTTTAGCAGCCATGGAACTCTGTTTCCTTTAGTAAGACTGCTATTCTTTTGGGCTTTGTTTGCCTGTGACAGAGTTTGGAAAAGACCCTAGAAAACCAGGGTGAAGTTGGGACGCATCTTGTGTGCTTCCCTTCTCCAAAGATTGTAGACCTGTATTAGTTACTGTCACACACTCAGTTATGATCAGACTCTAGTTTTCTTTTTAAACTATCTGTGGTAGGCAGAATTCTAAGTGGTCCTCAAGATTCTCACCCTCTGGTGAACATGCCTTGTATAATCTTCTATTCTAGAATATGATGAATATCACTTCTATGATAGGTTATGCTATATGGCAAAGATGAAGGGATTTTGCAGATATAATTAAAGGCCCAAATCAGCTGATTCTGAATAAAAATGGAGATGATACTGAGTGGGACTGACAATCAGATGAAAACCCCTGAAGGAGGGACTGAATCCTTCTTGAAGAGAGATACTCTCCTGCTGCGCTGAAGAAGCAAACAGCCACACTGGAAACATGCCTAAAATGGTGGCCTCTAGGAGTCAAGGGCCTTGGTTCTGCAATCACAAGTAACTGAACTCTGTCAACAACCTGAATGGTCTTGGAAGAGGGTCCCAAACTCCAGATAAGAAAGGCACCTTGGCTGAATTTTTGTGAGACTCAGGAGAGGACCCAGCTGGAAGCTGTGTTCTGATTCCTGACCCACAAAAACTGTGAAATAATGTATGTTGTTTTAAACTGTAAAGTATGTGGCAATTTATTATGCTGCAATAAAAAACTAATACATTATCTGTGTTGAGTTTTGATGTTAAAATGGGGTAACTTCCTAAGCAAACTTGGGAGCTTTCCTTATTTTTCTATGGCCTAGTTATCAATAACCTTGGAGTCATTTCTTCTTTAAAAGTTAGAAAGAACTTTGCTGTGTACCCCTCTGGTCCAACTGCCATTTGAAACTTCTGAACCCCTTTCCAGAGTTTCTATGGTTCTTGTCTATTCAAGTTTTCAACTTCTTTTTTGGGAAATTCTGACAATTTCCATTTTGTTAAGAAATCACTCATTTCCTCTAGGTTTTCAGTTTATTTTTGCCACTGAATTGCATACGTTATTCTTGTATAATTCTCTCATTCCAGGTTTTGGTATTATGTCTTCTTTCATGTTTCCAATCTTACATACTTTTGCTCTTTTTCTTAATTTCATTTACCAAGTGTTTATCTAGTTCATTATTCTTTTCAAAGAATCAGGTTTTGGATTTGTTTATCCTTTCTACTATTATTTCTAACTGATAAATTTCAGCTTTTCTTTTTATCTTCCCAGTTTTCTGATTCATTTTGATGGTTCTTATTTTTTTCATTATGGAAAATCACAAACTAGTTAAACAATATCAACTGATAGCCAGTCTTTTTTCATCTCTATGTCTCACAAAATTATTTTGATGCAAATCCTGGATATATAATTTTGTCTGTAAATATTTCAATATATAGTCTAAAAGATACTCTTTAAAAAACATAACCACAATGCCCATATCACACCTAAAAATAATTCTTTCATATCATGTGTTCAGAGGGTTCTATTAGATTAGCGTTGGGGGATAAAGACAGAGATAAATCTATCTTGCCACCATCCCCCCTGCTGGAAGGGTACAGCTTTCCAACGTTGACTGTAACCCACAGTAAGAAATACATTTTACATTGCAATATGATACCTACATAAATAACTGAAACAAATGTTTCACAAAACAACAATTACACTTACCATGCGGGCCCCATCCACTCACTCACCCTCACACACACACACCCTTTTCCTTCTTTCTTTGCTCTTCCTTTTCTTTAAATGTTGATTGTAATCCACTAGATTGATTTCACATTCCACTATGGTTCCATTATCTGCATTTTGAAAGACAATCCTATAAAGCAAACTTCTAAATACTAAATTAACTGAAAAGGGTTATGAAATGAGTTTCAGATACCTCCTCTGAAAGGAAGGACAGAAAATAAAGCATTCCATCTGCCAGGGCCTGGTGTCCATGCCAAACTACTACATGTTCAGTTCACTGTATCCGGAATCTCTCACTTAACTACACTGTTTGTAAAACAGCACTTATCAGGACAGAATTGTTGAGATCTTACTGCCAGTTTCTTCTACTTGTAAGTCTATCAGTCTCTCCAACAACGTCTGTTTGGGATTTCAACATCTGCTTTAAACAAATAACAGTCAAGCACATTTGTTATCTATACACTCTTACCAAAATGTGGGCTGCCACTTATCTTCCTAAACTACTAAAGATTAAGAATTTAATCAAAAAGTAGAAACTATTTCAAAGGTCAAAACAAACAGCATTTATCTCCTCTAGGATAAATTCTGCTAATAGCAGCCTTTGCTTTAGAAATCTAAATTATAACCTTGAGATTCAAGGGAAACAAGTAAGCAGCTATCATCAAAGCAAAACCTCTGTAAAAAAAAATAAACTCCTTCAATATTAACAAGTACAGTTAAGGCCTCCCCACATCCATCTATGTGATTATTCTCTATTTAGTACATATTTGATGCACTTCAGTGAGCTGGTTTTTGACCTTCAGAAAAATGAAAGACACTTCTCTTTTGTGATTTAAAAGAGCTTTATTTAGTATTTAATCTCCATACAATTCAGTACAACAAATTATAAAACCTCTTTGTAAGATTTAACCCATAGGATGTTAAAAACAGAAAATCAATTACCAGAAGTAAGCAAGCCACTCTCTCATCTTAAAAGCCTTTTTCTGTGAACAGACAAGCACTCTCTCCTGGGCCAAAAGGTTGTCATGTATAAAGCATTTGGGAGAATGTCAAACAAGATACATGATCTGAGAACATTTTAATATCTTCATATGGGGTCATTATGAGTCAGGATCAACTCACTGGAACCCAACGACAACACTAATTCCAAGGTTTCAATTCAATTTTAAAAACGAAATATTTCTGTGTTAATTCTGGTAGATTTCGGCCAAAGATGAGCTAAATTTTCTACATCTTAGACTAAGTTAACTGCGAAACAAAGCCACAGACCAGATGAAATATATATGCCCTTGTCATCTGGCAGCACCCACCCAAAACACATACACAAACCCAAACAAACTTCAGGTGATTTCACAAAGGCTGGGAAAACCATCTTTACTTGGACAATAAACAGCCTAGATAACACCTAATTATGTTCCGGGCTAACATATCTGAAACGAATCCCTGTTCTTTAAAAGCCTGTAATGAAAGTGACTGGGACCTTTCAACTATAGTAGAATCTGTATCAATCATTGTGATCAGTATCAGTAGCTGGTCATTTAATGAGTAAGTAGGTTCAAGTAAGGAACCAAAATATACAACTGTACATTCATTTGCAAATATTTGGATGTAAAGCCAAGTTTTTTCTTTTGCATGAGGGTTCGATGACTGAAGTTCCACTTCTTGCAAACATCATACCAATAAAGTGATTTGGGTACAATCCTACCAGTTTAGATTTTTAAAAAGTAGAATGAGTACTTAAATAAACCTAAGAAGCCCTCTAAGTTCAGAACTTTTGATTTTTGTTTCCTCAATATTTTATAATTTCCCCAACCATACCTAATTCAAAGCAATTTCATTAGCAAATAAATTAATATCAAATCTTACCGTTGAAGTAACTCTTTCTTCTCACACCCACTTTCCTAGGTTTATGCAAATAGTTAATTCAGTTCTGTGCTTGCAGTGACTAAAACTTGCACAGAGAAGGTTGGTATGGGCACACAACTAGCTACTAGCTGGGGCTAGTAGTTTACAAGTGGGATGGAGGCCGCCAGGTGATCTGGTGAGTCATGCAAGTAGAGGCCAGTTAAGAGCACTTCTATTGGACTTAGAGGTTCTTCGGATGGCTAAATCTGAAGTAAAATCAAGTAGTTTTGCTATCCACAAAAAACAGAGTCGTAACTTGAGGCTGTTACCAAATGCTGGCACAGTCGCCAAGGTCTGTATGGCATGGAGCGTAAGCCACGAGTCTCTTGCTTCAGCTTGGCACAGGGACTGGAAACCAGAACCAGGCCTGGGATGGTTTTCCTCTCTTTCTTCCCGTGTACTCCAACGAAAAGGTCATAAAAGAGAATACTGATGAGCACTAAAAATGTCTAACATGATTTGTTGAGGGATTTGGTCATCAGGAAATAAAAACTTCTACTGTACATGGTCACAGTGTCTTGGAAAGAGTGTATGGATTTTGTCTTGCAAGATTTTTTGGCACTTTATGTTTTTCACTAAAGACTGAACACTAAATGTTTTGGCAAAAATGGCACCTAAACTATGGGGAAAAAAAAATCACTGTATGCCATCCATGTAGTAATGAGTAACATAAAAATTTAAGTATATTGTGTATTAAGACTCCAAATACCTAAAATGCTTGGACTAACACATACAAGAATATTTAAATCAAATTTCAGTATATCTGAAAAGGTAACAGAGAATTTTAAAATGAAACCACATAGTCCGACATAATGTACCTTACATGTGCTTGGTTTCAATCAGAGTAAGGCACTCGCTGAAGGATGTACTGACCCATGCTGTCAGCTACAACAGGCATGCATCATTACTGGCTTCATTAAAGTTTTAGTACTGATTAAAATGCTTTATTATTGTATCACCCTAAACTGCAGTGGTCTCCAACCTTAGTAAGGAGTATAAGAAAGATATAATTCAGGAGTTTCAGTCGCATAATTTAACAACCCAGCTACTGTCAATTTTTTATTTAAATAAGTTTTGATAAAAGTCAAATATCCTTGTGTTCAAAATGACAGCATAGAAAAAATTTTTGAATGCTACCTAAGAAGTAGTAACTGAATATAAAATTATTTGAGCATGTGATATATCCATCTTGATGCATATGTTAATTTACTTCAATACAACTGTAAGGAGAAGCATTTAAATCATTTCCAGCTGGGAAGAACAGGGGAGAAAGTGAATTTCATTCGCCATCTTGATTTAATTAAATGCACAATATGCTTTTATCAGCAACTTTTACAATGTCCCCATCATTAGAAATTAATTATAAAAGCAATTATCAAAAATTTTTTGAGCCGGTACACATAATCTTCTTCATTGTTTATAAGTAGTCGTGACTTAGAGGCACTTGGTTACCTTTTAGTAAGGAAAAGAATAACACTAGCAGGACCTCACAGTAAGATTGGAGACACAAATCAAACCTGGTATGAAAACGCTGTCTGCTAAAAATACCATTATCAGAGAATTAGTTAAGATACAACATTTAAAAAATATTCAGACTTTGCAAGGTTCTAGGCTGTAAAAAATACAAAGGCTAAAAACACAAAAAGTTTACAAAATTTTGCAAACCCAGTAATTTAAATGAGTAAGAAATAAAGCAGAACTATCTTACTTGAAGGAGAGGGTTAAATAGTATCAGTAGGTTTTAAAATGAAAACACTAAGCAGTAACAAATTCTACTTGACTACATACATTTCTGCCCCTTTAAGGACTTACAATATGGAAATTGTAATACTTTTCTGTGTCCAGCATTAAAAAACACACATACAACATGACACATACTACATGACACAGACTACTGAAGTCTACACACTCCATTTCAGACAGAGCTCAACCAAAAAGTTTCAGGTACGTACAAAGACCTAACATGATTTTTTTTTCAATGTTAAGAGCATGAAAACGGAAAACAGGTCATAAAATTTTAAGGTAAAACAGGACAATAAAGAGCTTTTTAAAAAGCCACTGATTGGTCTTCACACGTGAAATAATATTAAATAATTTCATCATACATCCCCCCTCAATTCAATTCAGCCATCGCTGTCTTAAGACAACTGAAGATTAAACATATTTCAAATCCTGAACAGGTTTTTGATTCCCAACAAGGTATGTGGCTGTTCAGGCTCCCAGTGGAACACAGACTGATCTCCCCAACAAAACTCTTGGCCACTCTGAGAAAACTGTGCACATTTACACCACACAACATTAATGGAAAAGATAAAGACAAGATGAAAGACACTTGAACTTGTGTAAGATACTTTCAAAGGTGGTAACGCTTGTGTAAACATCTGTAGAACTTACTCATATCACAGCTTTAAGGTGCAGGCTACCTAATTATATAGGAAACTAGCAATGTAGCTTCATTATGATGGAATTTTACTGTATCAAAAATAGAGACTGAACAGAAAACTTTGTTACTTGTTTCTGGTTAGCTTGTAAACATGGAATGTTTTGTTCTGAAACACTCTGGTGAAGTGTGCCGTGTAAGGAGGCAGGTTTCTTTTTATCTCTTCACAGAAGCGAGGGTGGCCTGCAGGCTTCAAATCCGGCTCGTTCGCTCCTGGACCATCCATCATCTGAAACCAAAACATATCCAAACACAGTCTGAAAAAAAAATCGTATTTATAAGAGACAACAGAAGTAGGAATAGATATTTGGTTCCGTTAAGAATGATATATTAGTGAAATTAAATTATATTATTTAAATTTCAATGGCTACTTGGAGATCATCTGGTCCATCCCTTCCACCCTTCAGACGTACAAATCAAGGTTGAGAAGGAAAAGTTCAGTGTCATACAATGATCACCATCAATGGCAAAGCTAGAACTAGAACTCAGGTCTCCTTGTTCTTAGGCATGTACTATATTGTCCCTCTGATGCCAATGAAATAAGTTACTATGACCGAGGAAGTTCTTTAACTCATTAGATGGCCTAGTTAGAAAAAGCTATACACAAAGCAAAATCTGTGGTCTATACCTCCTCTGAACTCAAGATACTTATGGGCCATTGTTTTCCTTGGGCAAAAATCTGAATCTCACTATAGAAGAATCCAGATCAAAAGGGGGATATTGCAGAACAGAATTTAAAATTCTCAAGGAATCCAGATTTTCTGGAGCCATGGAGACTGGATAAACCCCCGAAACTATTGCCCCAAGACAATCTTTAAACCTTAAACCAAAAATATCCCTAGAAGTCTTCTTAAAACCAACAGTTTAGCTTAACTAGTAAAGAATGCCTGTCTTGAGGATTATGCTCTTTTAAGATCTATGTAGGATCTAATTGACAATAGTAACTTGAAAGATTAGACAGGAACCTAGGGAGCAGTGAGTTTATGTTAATGGTGGAGGAACTCAGAAAAGGAGGATGAGAATGGTTGTGTAACTCGAAGAATGTAATAAATGTCACTGAGTTATACATGCAGAAACTTGAATTGGTGTATGCTTTTGTTGTGTATATTCTCAACAACAACAAAAAATAAAATAAATTATTTTTAAAAATCTGAATATCAAATTCTGTAGACTAGTTTTTTTCAGATTTAGGCTACGTTTGTCATTTTGTCCCACTCATTTTACAAACATCTATCCACTTTTAAACCCAATTACAGCACTCGTACCCACTGCTGTCAAGTTGATTCCGACTCATGGTGACCTCATGTGTTACAGTGTAGAGCTGCTCCATAGGGTTTTCTTGGCTGTAATCTTTACAGAAGCAGACTGCCAGGCCTTTCTTCTGCAGTGCACTGGGTGGATTCTAACCACCAATCTTTAGATTAGTAGCTGAGTGCAAACCTAGGGACCTTAATCACAGCATGCACTGCCTCTAAAGAGTGAAAATTTTCTGTTTGTTCTATTCGAGACCTGGCATAGCTCCAAGAACATTTTCCTCAGAAGGAAGAGGGATATTTTCTGCTCTGGAGTATAAGCTTAGCCACAGAAAACCATCTTGTGGAAATGTGCCATTGGACAAGAGAGGCCACCCAATGAGAGAGGGCAGGGAGAGCAGCACCCCTCTACATCCGTGGCTGGGAGAGGAGAGATGGAGCACTGCTATCAGCCATTCAGGTACTGAGCCAACGTAATGCGTTAGAGAGGTGGTTTTAAAACTGAGTTTTCGTTTGCTTTTTTTTTTAGCAATGAAAACCTTAACAAAACAGATTTTACACAGAGCCCCACAACACAAAACAGTAAAGGCAGAGCTGCTCTGTCTGATGTGAAGTTGGGGACCTAGAGTTCCTTTTCCATCTTCCCCTTGCTCAGCCCCTGTGGCAGCCACTCGAGTGCCAAGGTGAGGAGTTCTGCAGAATGCAGGAGAAAAATGAATACCTGACTTGTACTATGACGTATGGAATGATTTACAATACTTAGGGTACTTAGGACTGAAGGTGGAATCCCGCCTCTCCCAGGAGATTCTCTCGCGCACTGAGACCGGGTATGCTTACGTGTCCGTTGGCAACGTCCAGCAGGTCCCGCAGCCGGCAGCCCCGGCGGTGCCTGCGCTCGTAGCAGATGCTGTCCTCCAGGATGACATAGTCAGTGCCAAAGGACCTTAGCAGGGCATGCACCTCCTCCGGAGACCTCTTTGCGTATATCTGATAAACCTTTCAAAACAAGATAAAAATGGAATAAGGGCAAAATATCACTCAACTGCCAGGGAGTTAGCTGAGGAACTTCTAATGATGTGACCTCCCAGAGGGGTTGACTCTGCGTGGCACAGTGCCCCCTCCCCGCCCCTCCCAGGCCAGCCGTCTGCAGTCCTGCAGCGCATGGGGGAAGTTTCCAAATGAACGCTGTAATTACTTAGTCTTGGGAAGAGGGAAAGTGAGTCACACTGAATACATTCAGATTTAGACACCAAATACATTTTGATTTAGAATGGATTATTCTCAGTTATGAATATATTCATTGGTAGGTGCCAATTCTAAGAAGGTTTCATCAAATAATGCGGCTGAGTAAATAAGACATAGTCTCTAGCTTTAAAAGGGGACCAGCAGACTAAAAGAGTCTATTAGGGGTGACAGTTCAGTTTTAGGGGAACGTGTGAGGAGGGGGCCAAGGTTCTGAGGACAGAAGTTGGGGAAAAGGGCCCTGATGGGGGTCCTTGGTCCCAGGCTGGGTGGCACTGTTGCTTCACTGCTGCTACATCGCCTCCTGCTAGATCAGAATGAGACTTGACCCTCATTCTCTACCTCCCTTGCTTGCCTGGAGCAAGAGCGACTTGCAGCAGCCAGCAGCAGTTCACCGGGAGGCACCACCTGCAGTCGTCACTAGCGTCATACACCTTCAGCCAATACACCCAGCCTACGGGGGTGCTGTTCTAGTTGTTGGAATTGGCAAAATTGGGGAGAAGAGAAGGAATCATGAAAAGAAGTGCTGCGTCCTTTGCTGCCCACTGCTTTCTAATGATAGGCTCCTGGCTTCAAGATTGGTACCGAGGGCCTAACTCAGTGTGTCCGCATGGACAGATGAGATGGCACGGAGGCCAGCTGCTTCTATTGCTAACACGTGAGGCCACCATACAGTGCAGGCCCAGGTCGTAGAGTAAAGGCATTCCAAGGACCTGAAGGTCTCGACTGAAGAAGAGCCCTAGGGCTTGCAGGATGTTAGTTTTTAGGGCACAGAGCTTGGTACCTGGACAGGACTGGAGCCTGGAGGAGGAGCACAGGACTCCCTGGGCATCTTGTGTGTCTCTGCTGCATCCCTCTTGCATCTAAGCAGCACAAGCCAGCTCCTGACTGAACCTCATGTTTGCTGAGTCAGGCACCCCCCAATCCTCTAGTTAACTTGGGGCTATCTAAAACACTTGGGCCAATGGAAAATTCCAATTTAGCAGGAGAGCTCGGCTGCTAACCAAAAGGTCGGCAGTTGGAATCCACCGGCCACTCCTTGGCAACCCTATGGGGCAGTTCTACTCTGTCCTATAGGGTCACTATGAGTTGGAATCAACTTGATGGCAAGAAGTGAGTTAAGACAATTCTGATAAACAAGAGGAGACTTAGTGTAAGTCATTTTTTTTAGGAAAGTCAACTATCACTCCAAAAGAAGACTTTTTAACAACCTTTCAACTACCAAGATTAAGGAGTCACCAATATAAAACATCAAAGAAGTCTGACACCACTGCTGATGAGGGCTAGCGAAACAGGTGCTCTCCACGCTGCTGATCTAAATGGCAAGTGCCCGTTCCCTCCGACCCAGCAATTCCAAGCCTAGGAATCTGAAATGCAAATATATACTTGTACTGTACAGATGGATGCATATGCAAGTTTATTGTTTGGAGTACTGTTTATAATTGCAAAATACAGGGAAACAACCTAAATTGTTAAATAAAATATGATACATCTATATAATGTAGTATTAGGCAGCTTTAAACCATACAAGGAAGTTATACTGATATGTAATAATCTCTTAAAATATAAAAAGTGCAAAAAAAGTAAGATGTGGTATTATTTCTTATATAAAAAAGGGAAAAAGAATGTGTACATACACATTTGTGTATGTGTACAATACCTGTGGGAGGGTACACAAGAAGCTGGTAACACTATTTGCCTCCTGGGAGGGGATCCAGTAGTGGGACACAGGGGTGGGAGGGGGACTTTTCACTATATGCCCCTTTGTATGTCCTGAATTTTTAACTAGGTGCTGTATTACCTATTTAAGACAAATAACAAACGGCCCATAAACGTGACCGGTATTTGTCTAGCCCTTGTCTTCCTCTCTCCAACTCAAAGGCTCTCAGGCTTTGCTCTCGAACACTATCTTCTGTCCATCTCAAGGCATTTATTATCTCAGTTATTCCCCTCCCGAGGTGAGCATGTGGCCTGACAGCATGCCTTTAACTGTCGTGGGCAGGCTGAAGTCCATACTGAGGAGATGCGAGCCCGTGCCCTGAAGTCTTCCTGATTTCCCCTCAAAACCCACAAGCTGTAGGTGTGCAGCATTAGCTCTGGTGGTACAGCGGTTAAGTGCTCCACTGCTAACTGAAAGGTCGACGGTTTGAACCCCCAGCCGCTCTGCAGGAGAAAGATGCGGCAGTCTGCTTCCATAAGGATTTACAGCCTTGGAAACCCTGTTGGACAGTACTACTGTGTCCAGTAGGGTCGCTATGAGTTAGAATTCGACTTGATGGCAAAGGGTGTAGATTTTCGGTTTTCACCAAACACCAGGAAGCCCCCTGCTAGCCCCCAAGAAGCGAGGAAAGGCAGCGAGAAGAGGTCCTTACTGCTCTGGTTCTCTCTCTCAGGCTTTTGTCTTCATAGTGCGGGTGGTTGGTTAAGACTCTTCCTGTGCACAGCTTGACCCCGGCCAGCAACTGCATGCTTCCAGCAAACACGGCCTTTCTTGGAGTGTTAGAGCTGAAAGACGTTCGAGTCTGAATTAACCCACAGCTAAGACTTCCTCAAAGACAACAGAAAAGACCACATGATACTCTCAGAATTACCCAGCTTTGTCAGGAAGTGTTAAGAGCTGGGAAAAGAGGAGCTGCTTGGGTTTCTGGTTCATACTCCAAGTATTTTATGAAACTTTTCACACCTGTTTTTGACTCTTCACTACTACAACGCTTAGGAAGCTTATAACTTCCTTTTTTGGATGGCTTTCATATTTTAATCTTTTTTATTGTACTTTAGATGAAGGTTTACAGAACAAGTAGTTTCTCATTAAACAGTACACATACTGTTTTATGACACTGGTTAGCAACCCCATGACATGTCAACATTCTCCCTTCTCGACCCTGGGTTCCCTATTACCAGCTTTCCTGTTGCCTCCTGCCTTCTAGTCCTTGTCCTGGGCTGTTGTGCCCCATCAGTCTTGTTTTGTTTTATGGGCCTGTCTAATCTTGGGCTGAAGGGTGAACCTTGGGAGTGACTTCATTACTGAGCTAAAAGGGTGTCCAGGGGCCATACTCTCGGGGTTTCTCTAGTCTCTGTCAGGCCAGTAAGTCTGGTCTCTTTTTTTGTGAGTTAGAATTTTGTTCTACATTTTTATCCCTCTCTGTCCGGGACCCTCTATTGTGATCCCTGTCAGAGCAGTTGGTGGCGGTAGCCGAGCACCATCTAGTTGTGCTGGACTTAGTCTGGTAGAAGCTGTGGTAGTTGTGGTCCATTAGTCCTTTGGACTAATCTTTCCCTTTTGTCTTTGGTTTTCTTCATTCTCCTTTGCTCCAGACAGGGTGGGACCAGTACAGTATCTTAGATGGCCACTCACGGGCTTTTAAGACCCCAGGTGCTACTCACCAAGGTAGAATGTAGAACATTTTCTTTATAAACTATGTTATGCCAATTGAGTTAGATGTTCCCCGAGACCACAGTCCCCACAGCCCTCAGCCCAGCAATTTGGTCCCTCATGGAGTTTCGATGCGTCTATGGAGCTTCCATGGCCTTGCCTTGTACAAGTTGTGCTGCCTTCCTCAGTACTGTGTACTGTCTCACCCTTCATCAAAGTTACCACTTACCTATTGTCTATTTAGTGTCCTCCCCCCGCCTCCCCTCCCTCATAAGATGGCTTTACTATTACAATGAATTATCTTAGGAAGTAGGTAGCTCCTGAGTCTAAGGCTTCTAGGCTAAAACCCATAATCCTCTCCACTACTGTTCCAGAGGGGTGGATGCTAACAAGAAGAAATCAAAAGACTGCCATTGCTTTTTGCTCTAAAGTTAACACGTTAAACTTAAAACGTAACAAATTATATTCAGAAACTGCAACTGAGCATGAGTCAATTACAAGGGTTTTTGTTTAAAACAAAAGCAAAAAAGGTCACAGATACTACTATAAATTACTTTTAAGAAAAACGGAATAAAAACAAAAGAACAGAAAGATTCTGAAGTGGCAAGTATCTTCTTAAGCAACATGGGAATGTACAGTATTGCTGATGTGGACACACAAGTATTATATTTTTCCTTTTAGTCCTGATTATGCAAAACTATAGGCATCTTAGGGAGCCCTGGTGGCACAGTGGTTAAAGCGCTCGGCTGCTAACTGAAAGGTCGGTGGTTTGAACTCACCAGCCGCTCCCGGGACAAACATGTGGCAGCCTGTTTCTGTAAAGATACACAGCCTTGGAAACCCTATGGGGCCGTTCTATAGGGTCGCTATGAGTCAGAATCAACTCGCTGGCAGTGGTGTTAGGTTAGTTACAGGCATCTTAAAGAACACAGGGCACCCTAATATTAAATGATGATCTCACTTTCCAATTACCACAAGCTATGACTCTTGGCCTCCCTGTGGTGTGTGAGGAGCAATGAGGGAAGGCCAAGGGGAGATTCCCTGAACATGGGAAAGCATTTTTCTTTCTCCCCACTTTCCCCAGGAAATATAATTTTAGTAGTTTATTTAATTCTCTTCCATTTTTGGAAACCTAGCCCGTCACTTGCAAACCGATGATGTGTACGTGTGTGTGTTTTATATTATGGAGAACACAACGTGTCCTCTATGGACCCTCCGATGAGGTGTACATGTGTGTGTTTTATCATGAGGAACACAATACGTCCTCTATGGATCCTCCAATGATGTGTATGTGTTTTATTATGAAGAACACAACATGTCCCCTATGGATCCTCTGATGATGTGTATGTGTGTGTGTTTTACTACGAAGAACACAACACATCCCCTATGGATCCTCTGATGATGTGTATGTATGTGTGTGTGTTTTATTATGAAGAACACAACATGTCCTCTATGGATCCTCTGATGATGTGTATGTGTGTGTGTTTTACTATGAAGAACACAACACGTCCCCCATGGATTCTCCGATGATGTGTATGTGTGTGTGTGTTTTTTATTATGAAGAACACAACACGTCCTCTCTGGACCCTCCTCAATGCAGCAATGCAGCAATGCAGCAATGCAGAACTCACTGTAGAGGCCCACTAGGAGTACTGTGAGATACGCTTATCCCTCCAGTATTAAGAAAGAAGAGTCTGCTAGACTAAGTTCACATGGAGTTAGTTTGAAGGAGTCTAATTGAAATTATTAAAACTCAACATCCTTTGCAGAAACCATTCTAGCAGGCTGTTCTCCATGTTTTCAGAGGGCAAGGACTGAAACTTGCTCTGGTGTTGAAGTTTCTGAGAGAAGCCCTGCCATATTTACATATCTCACGAGTATGTTGCATTTATTACAAGTCAATGCCAAGATCACAGCATGAATGTCATCTAACTAAGGGCTTAGGATGTCTATGAGTAAGAAGTGGCTGTTCAAGTTGTGATATTTACAAATAATTTACTTTTGAAAAATTCAAGATTTTCTCCCTAGCAATAACATTCTCATGCACTCGCTTTCCAGTAAGCTTTCTTAAGTGACGGAATTACAGTGCACACACAGGGAGTGACACATTATCTGCATTTTGCCTTCCCCAGGCCACAGCCCGGAATGTGGATTATAGTGGGAAAGTTTTATGTGAACTTGGCTATGCCTGAGAGGTTGTTGTAGCTCTGACAACCAGACCCAGGTACACAAGAACAAATAAATGTTTGCTCTGTCCCTCTGCACCAGTAATTCATAGGGAAACTCTGACATCTGTCCCACATGATCAGAGGAATATGAGGGTTTAAATAAAAACGTGAAGGTGCTCAGAGTTCCTTAGTGAAAGGTTTTACAGAAATTCCATTTTATTCAGTTAACACTTATTAAATGCCACACAGACTGCGCTCCCCTCATTTACAGTGTATCACCATCGCTGAAGAGAACAGAGATGGACACATATGAATTAAATGGCATCATGTTTCCAAGCAAGTCTTCTCTCCTTTTGTATACTCTCAACCGGCTTTGGTTATCCCACTACGGTAACTGATACAGTAACGTCATGAGTGCAGAGCGTGGCTGGCTTTGGGTCCTACGGACTAGACAGAGTCAGAATGCAGGAAGAAAGTCAGTCTGGTCCCCACCTCTGGCAGAGCACCAGCTGAGCTTACAGTACTCATTCATACAGCAAGGCTGTTTCAGCAGCACTGTTTTGAATATGTAAGAGGCATCAGCACCAAGGAGATACACAGAGCTGTTAATACTGTATGTTCTGTAATTAGGATCCCTGTTAGAATGTGGTATTTTTCTTAAGGGGAAAAGCACATTTGGCAGAGATAGATGGCTGACCTTGCTATCTATCCATGGCTAAGGACCAAGGTTTCACCAGCTTCCTGGATTATAATAATAATGCTTCAATGAATTATATGGTTCACAATGCCAAAAGTCCTCAGCTGCTCATTGGGGAGTTACAGAGTTACTCTTTATTCATTCAGGAAATACTACTGAGGGCCTACTATGTGCTGGGCTGCCAAACATGGTGTGCCTGTCCTCAAGAAGCTGACAAGCTAACAGAGCCAGACTCAGCTCCAGTTATGGGCAAACACTTCAAATAAACCAGCAATTAGTCTATCCCACATTTATTAGTGTTTTCTGTAGACCTTTAGCTGTGCTGTAAACCAAACACAGTAGACATAAACACGCCTCTCTCCTCAGTAAGCTGTAAGAACACCTGAGTCACTCCATCCCCTACCCACCCAGAGTGGGTGCAGTCCCCCAGGCAAAGCAGAGCCACCATCACGAAGTATAAGGTGACATGTCACATACGTGCTCGATGGAGCTGAGAAAAAACGGAACAAAGCTCATTAAACTGTAACATGTCTTAATGTTTGGTCTTCTCAGCAAAGAGTCAGAAAGTTTAAAAGGGATGTAATCTGTTAAACTGTTAGTGCCACATAACTCTGGCTCGTTAACATACTCTCACCAAACTCCCTGATTTTATTGTAAAGTAGCAAAACGCAAGTACCCTCATGCCTATAATGACTTAGAGATAACAATTCTTTGACAAGTACTGACTTCTGAGGACAGAGGAGATGAGGTTCATTCGCTTTGTTCTCTTTTACTTGGTTTTACACACTTGCCCCACAGGAAACCTGGGATATTTCACCTCCATTCTAAGTATTTAATTTCATCTTTAAAGCAAATGCAAAAGTAAACACAACAAGCAAAACAGGACAAAATGAAAAACAATCACACATCTTCTAAACTTTAAATACCTATATTTATGCTGTTTTCTATCTTCTGTGGCAACTTAGTGGACAAAGGGAGGAAGGATTCTCTGTCCTTAACTTCAAATATGTGGTAAGACAGAGAAGGCTGGGCATTCTTCCTTCACAGACACTGTCTGATACAGTCTGTGGTCTGTTATCTAAAACAGCTAATGTGCTTTTAACTACTGAATGACACTTCTCTATTATAGAAAAACAAAGCCATTTTTACAAATGTTTGAACAAATGATGTATAAAATGAAAGGATAATGTGTTTTTATAGCTCTCTGCCAAGTTCCATAGCAGGCTGCCCAACCTGCAAACAATTTATTCTGTAAGAAATGTCACCAAATAATGACAAGGGCTCACAGGTCAAATGGATTTACATTATATAATTTAAATGTCATTTCTGGAAGACCTGATGGCATTTTGAACAAATAATCTCATTTATTTTTGAAGCTCTAAGCTTCAGCAAGTTAATTACTGTTGAACTAATGGGTAAACTGAGCATTATAATATAATGTGTGAGCATTTGCTTTATCTACACTTCAAAAATTTATAGAATTATGCAAATACTACAAAATGATTCATTAAATATAAAAGAGGTTTACAGGCATTTAAGGTCTGAATTTAACCTACATCATATTTAAAACATGCAGTAATTACTTCTGCTTTGATTAAATGTAAAGGAAATCTAGTACATTTTCTTCACTCCCATTGAGAAAATACTGTACACGTAGGCTTCATTATTGGAAAGAGACTGTATCTGGTGAAATTATCCTAAAGCTAAGTAGTTAAAATGTCACACCTCAAAATGTCCAAATCTGTTGATCCATCTATCTTAATTGCACAATGTCAAAGAAAAATTTCAGGAAACAAAAATGAAATAGTCAAGGACACAAAGGAATGAGGCATGAACCACTGATTATGGTGGCATTCAGCCTTGCTGAAATGAATGTGCTTTCTAGTCACACACTGAACCTATAAAAACACTGCCTGGTGTTTGCTGAAACAGATATCTGAAGGTGAAAAAACCCAGGAAACATTATCAGCAAAGAGAGGTAAATATGAATGCAGTGTTTAAATCTGAGTGAAAACAAAGCATGAAGCACACCTCAGCATAATGTGGAAGGCGGGCAACCAGGTGAGCACACACAGGCAAGGCAGCTGGGGTTATCACACCTTGGGGACCTGATTTCAACAAAATGTCCTTGCAGAGTAACGAGAAATTTAATTCCTAAGTATTCTTTGTTTTACACTTATATTTAAGTCTCTACTCCTCTAAAAAACTGAAGTATAGACCATTTTCCATTATTAAAAACTAGGACTCTAAAAAAAAATTCTTCCACTGGAATCTGCTAAGCCTCTGCACCTTTTAAAATGGAGCCTGTGGTAAAAATGACATCCCTAGGTGGTGCAAATGGTCAGTGATCTTGGCTGCTAACTAAAAGGCTGGAAGTCCGAGTCTGCCCAGAGGCGCCTGGGAAGGCCTGGTGACCTACCTCTGAAAAATCAGTCACTGAAAACCTTGAGGAGCACAGTTCTAATCTGACACACATGAGGTTACCAAGAGCTGGAACTGACTCAATGGCAACTGGTTTTGGGTTTTATAGTAAGAATATGGAAGAAAAGAATGAAGACAATAATACTGAATTGAGGCTCAATGTTTACCCTATCGAACAGGCAATTAGAATGGATTGCTACACAATGTGTGAATGTTTCATGCAGCATCCTACATATACGTAGTTGGTGCTCAATAAACATCTGTTGAACTATATTAATAACTATAACTTCAGACATGAGATGACTTTATATATTAAGGCTTTAAATGGTTTCACAAACATCCAACCCCTTTAGTATGATCCCTCTAATATTAATAGTGTTATCCTAAGGTGATGCCCTTTATTTTCCCTTTAGGCTATAAAAGGGATGATCTACAGCTATCTTATCTATAAAAGATCTTAGCCCCTCAAAAACAAGTACATAGCTAACTCCTGCTTGAGGGGGTGGAATCTCCCAATTTACCTTGAAGTAGAGAAGCCCTTAGTAAATACTTGGAAAGACCTTAATCTCCAAACGGAAGTTCAGCGCCCCCTGGAGCACAATGGTGATGCCTACTGTGTGGTTCATTACGGCATCAAGGACATAAAGCAGAGACTGGAGATGACAGGCTTCTTCCCATCACTTTACATAAGAATGACCCCAAAGAAGGGTCACCTGCACTGTTGCTGGGGCTCACTGTTTCTCTAGACCTGACTCAGTGATGGCAGCTGTGCCCCTCCTGCCCTCCCCCTATACGTGCTATCATGACTGCACTAAGGACAGACATCTGAGTGTTTCTGCTTTGACTGTGAGAACAGGCCTGGCGGCTGCTTTCAGACAAACCCCACGCCTTAGACCACAGCCTTTCTCCAGCACTTCTCATACCTACCAATATCATGGACACAGTAGTAAAGTGATGGTTGAAGGTCATATTTCATGTTTCAAAACCAGAAGAAATCACTTGTGTTTGGAATCTAAGCCTAAGGACCAGAGCTGATTTAAATGTTGATTTAAACAAACATACTTTGTGTCTAAATAGACCCTGTTCTGGCATACAGTCATCATCACTTAAGCGTATTTCACAAACATGCCTAGCAGCTATTTTTACAAAAATGATAATTTAGATCTGAAGAATTTTAAGGGAAACCAGGCAAGATTAGAGCACAGTGGAAACAATTTTTGTGAACAAATCTTTCAGTTGCTGAGAACTAAAAAAGAAAAAGTCAAGGGAGTAGGTCCACAAAGGCACTGTCCAGGGAGAGGAGCTGTCAGTAGAAGAATCTAAGGAACAAACACCACGTCCCCAAAGGAAAGAAATACGCAACCGACTAACACACTGTCTTCTTTACATCCAGAATAATCTCTTATCTGCACTCCCTCAGAGGCAGAAATGTTACTTTGACTTTCACTAATTTTTTGTGAGGAAAGGTATGAAAATAAAGGCACTACAAATAAATATATTCAGTCTCAGAGAGCCAAAAACAACCTGGGACTCTGCTAGAATAAATTTTTAATGGCTCCACAGTAATTCCTGAAGAGGGAGTAGAAGGGGGGATATGTATAATGCTAATCCAGGTAGATCCAGAAGACCCACCATCTTCAGGATGCTACAAGAGAGTGGGTGCCCTACAGCATTAATTTCAATGGAGTAATTTTTTTTTTAATTGTACTTTAGTTGAAGGTTTACAGAACAAACTAGCTTCTCATTAAACAGTTAGTACACATATTGTTTTATGACACTGGTTAACAACCCATGACATGTTAATACTCTCTCTTCTTGACCTTGGGTTCCCTGTTACCAGCTTTTCTGTCCCCTCCTGCCTTCTAGCCCTTGCCCCTGGGCTGCTGCACCCTTTTAGTCTAGTTTTGTTTTATGCGCCTGTCTAATCTTTCGATGAAGGGTGAACCTCAGGGGTGACTTCATTACTGAGCTAAAAGGGTATCTGGGGGCCATACCCTCGGGACTTTTCCAGTCTCTGTCAGGCCAGTAAGTCTGGTCTTCTTCTGGGTTAGAATTTTGTTCTACATTTTTCTCCAGCTCCGTCTGGGACCCTCTGTTGTGATCCCTGTCAGAGCAGTCAGTATGGTAGTCAGGCACCATCTAATTGTACTGGACTCAGTCTGGTGGAGGCTGTGGTAGTTGTAGTCTGTTTAGTCCTTTGGACTAATCTTTCCCTTGTGTCTTTAGTTTTCTTCATTTTCCCTTGCTCCTGAAAGGGTGAGACCAGTGGAGTATCTTAAATGGCCACTCACAGACTTTTAAGACCCCAGACGCTACTCACCAAAGTAGAATGCAGAATATTTATTCAATGGAGTAATTTTAAAAATAGAAAATATCACCCTCACCTTCAGATGCACAAGTCATAAATTTTCAACTGACTATAGTTAATGCAAAAGTAATTAGCTTTTCTTTATATGAATAATCCTCTCTTCCTATCTACAATAAATACTGAAGGAATTATTTACTCTATAATTATCTGCCATGATTTAAAATTAAATAAATAAACAAAGACAAAGCACTGCTTAGCACTCTCAGCCCTGGAAATACGTGAAAAATTACACTCATTGCATCTAGTCAAACCCGGACCGACACTGGGATGAAAGCCACATATATATTTTAGACATAAATCTCTATAAAATCCATGTACTGCACCCGGGAGACCTAAGCTATCAGACATTTACCATCTCTTAATACACAAGCGGTGCTAAACTGTACTGGTTAGTAAGCATGAGTCATGAGCAAGTGCCAATATGGCGACTCAAATTCTAAGTGATGGAGACAACACAGCCAATGCTTGCAGAATCTGCCACACAAGATTTGCAACATCAATTTACGTTACACTGCTGCTTTTTGGTTATAAAGTAGGGAAATAGAGTATTACAGGGCACTGCAATGCTGCTGGGGTGTTAGAGTTTATTTTTGCCGATGGGAGGTAGGTTTCGTTAACAAAGCTTTGAAACACACAGATTTCATTCTGAGGCTGAATGCTGAAGCAAAGTAACAAAGTGCAGGTAAAAACAAGAATCGACAGAGGAAAAGCTCTAATTGCTGTGTTTTAACTTTTCTTGGACAATAGGATTAGCAATCATATTGCTTGGACAATATGGTTAGTTAAAATGGGATCTGAACTGAGCTATTAGGACTCCAATTAACTGTTGCTTAAAGTACAATTTTTAAATGATCAACAAGGAAAACTTTCAAATGTCAACACTGATAGAAACTTTGAATGGTAGTAAAGTGAAAAAAAAATGATAAAGATAAAAGTGGCAGAAAGATAGTATAAAACTTTAAGTTTTAACAAAGATGATAAATAAAACTTTATTTCCAATTCTGTTGGTGGTTTGAAATTTATCCCCCTAGGCTGTTTTCCTCTCTAAACAGTATCTTCCCTTCTTCATGAGATTGTGGTTGGGAGAGAATATTTCCTGAATGAGAAGAAATTACTTCCAAATACAGACTTTGAAAGAAAAATGTATTAAGAACGAATGTTTCTTCACAATTAAATTCAGAAGAAACAAAAACAAATGATGTCTGTAGTGACTCTTAAAAGGCACTTGAAATTTTAAAAGGTTAAAAAAATCTTCTTACTTAATCCAGTTCATCAGCTCCACTGTATCTGGATCATAGAATTCTCTCAACTCGGAGAGTTCATCCATCATTCCTGGCCAGAACTGAAATTAAAAACAAAACAAAACAAAAACAAAAATCCACCCCACGCCCACAACCATCACTAAGATTAAATGAAAAAAAGAGAGACTGCATATAATTTATTCTCCACTCTTAAGAGCAAAATGTACTCTCCAGGATGAAATGGTACTGTTATCATTTTTACAAAGATGTGTGGGAGATAACACCATTTTATAGATGCAAAAACGCTTTCAAATAAAGAATTTCATTTTCTCTTCACCATAACCTGTTGAGGCAGATGATGCAGCAGGCATCATGGTCACTGTATTTATTTTTCGTTCTACAAATGAGGAAATTGTGGCTCCGAAAGGTAGCCTGACTTGTCCAGATCACAAAGTGGCAGATGTGGAACCTGACTCCAAATCCAGCCCCCTTTTCACTGAGTGACAGGGTGATCATATTTTTTGAACTAGAAATTCAGTTCTAATCTAGACAAATGGTTCGATGTATATTGATTACAGGTACAGCGGGAGGGAAGGGTATTTGAAAGTAGGACTCTGCAGGAAAATCCAGTACATTTCAATATTGTATCTATACCACTGATGTCTGCCAGGTAACTTGAGTTACTTAAGTTATGCAGATAAAATGTAAAAGTACACTCTGTATTTACTGCCTATCTAATATAACTATGTATGTTCAATTCAACAATTAATTCAATCGTAACTGTTTTATCAACTGGCGGTTGACTAAAAAGATCCGATCATCTATACACCTCTTCAGGCTAACTGCAGAATTCACTTCATATGTTGGCATACTGTACCAGAAGACCACTGACAACGTATTTATAGTTCAGTGATGTTGAAAAGATAGTAATTTGACTTAAGAACCACTAACTAGACCCAAAGTAGCACCTGACAGACCCGTGGCTGTGTTTTAGCCCTATCGCTTTCTTGTCCTGTCATCTCAGCTCTGGTCATTTTTACTGCTCCTTCACATCTTGTTTCCTGAGTGAGTCAATCCGGAAAACTGCTGGAGATGGGAAATCAGGTGTCAGCACCTCTGGTTCTGGTTTTTGGAAGAGATGTAGCAAAAACTATTGATCAGATAATACCCCTGTAATATTCAACAATCCATTATTAATTCTGATAATCAACAGAATACCTAATTTTAATGGTATGCTCTAAACCTTTTGGTATAAAACATATTTTGAAATCTGTGAACTTGATGGATATTAGATATTTTTCTAGTTTGAAAGCTGCTAGCATTAATTCTGAAAATGTAAAAATCTAGTAACATATTCTCACAGTAAACTCCTGTGAAAGTCAGTGTTAAATTAACTAAAGTTGTTTTTAAACTATCAGCAACAGCTTATATAAGATTTCAGCAGCCTAAATAGGTAATTGAAGACTAGAGTAGTAATTTTATTAAATATCTTAACTTCAATGTAAAGGCTAGTACATGTTTTTCCCCTTTAAATAGGACTATCCAAAAGAGAGATACAGCAAAATTGGTACTGTGCTCAAGAAATTCTGAAACTGACATTAAAATTGCTTTGTAAAACTCAAATCAGGGTTTGAAAGATATGAATTCACATTACTTACAGAAAAACCTGGTCAACGGTTGAAAAATAGATTCAGATTCACAGTAACCCTAATATATAGATAAAAGGGGTCCTGGTGGTGCAGTGGTTAAAGTGCTTGGCTGCTGACCAGAAGGTCAGCGGTTCGAAGCCACCAGCTGCTCAGCAGGAGAAAGATGTGACCAATCTGCTTTCATAAAGACTACAGCCTTGTAAACCAAATGGGGCAGTTCTACTCTGTCCTATAGGGTCGCTATGAGTCGGAACCAAATTGATGGCAATCATTTTTAAAAAATATATATAAAATACTTAACTTGTAATTTTGTATTTTACAAGTTTTGAGATAACTATCTAAACTATTTTACATATGGAAAGATGGACGTTAGGATTCCTCCTCCTGTACGGAGAGAGACTGGCCCAACAGATTTTTGGAGGATTCTTTAGAATACCATCTCTCTTCCTCAGGGGAAATCGACGAAGACTTCCTGGAAATGATGGCTTTTTCAGTGCTATCATTGGTTCCTCTACAGCAGTGGTTCTCACCGTGGGGGGAGGGGGATCCCCAACCCCCAGGGGATGTTTGGCAACGTCTAGAGATTTTTTGATTGTCACACTGGGGTAGGGGTGCTATTGGCATCCAGTAGCTCTGTGCAGATAGTAGGGATGCCGTGAAACATCCTACAATGCACAGGACAGTCCCCGACAACAAAGCATTACTGGCCAAAATGTCAACAGCGTCATTGTTGAGAAACCCTGCTCTGTAGCTGGGATTGCTCAAGCTTGACAGTGCATTGGCATCACTTGGAGAGTTGGTTAAAACATACATTTCTGGACACCACTCCCAGAGCTCTTGGTTCAGCGGGTCTCGAGGGGGGACCCAAGAACCTGAATTTCTAACAAGTTTCCAGGTGATGTTGATACTGTTGGTCTGGGGACCACAGTTTGCAAACCAGCTGCTCTAGAGCACAGTCTATTTCCTCTACAATGTGCTTCCTCATTTTTATCAAGAACAGAGAACTCAAATAGCTTAAAAACAACAACAACAACAAAATTTTAAATAAATAGCTAAGACATAAAACAACTTAGCCTACAGATACAGAGACAGCGGGAAAGACTGTGATAGTCTGCATACATCGTTAGTGGTAAAACAAGAACCTTGCTAAGCTCTATCTTTTTTGTGAGGAGGGTGTTTTACCTCAAGATCAATGTGTAAAGGTAAATTCATCTGATTCATTATTAAACATATACTCTAATTCCTTAGTTCTTACTTTCCAGATGTTTTGAATAACTTACTTATTTACATTACAGCAATAAAATTCCCAGAGGCAGGGGCCAGAAATGTATTTCTAGGAGTTAGCACAGCATTCTGCCCACAACAGTAGATGTTTCTGACAAACTGGAACATAATAGAACCTAATTTTTAAAAATACTAAAAAAAAAATTTGCAGTAGAATCATCCAAAATAGTGATTATCAACCTTTTTTTTTTTTTAGTCTAAGACCTCTGATTGAAATAAAATCTTACATGAAAACATAAGCAAATTAAAACCAAAAGCTGAGGTGCTGTGGTTGATCCTGCGGGTGACTTCCCACTGACCCCCAAGATCTCCCAAACTAGGGGCTCTACATGGTAGAGTTTGAAATCCATTGTTTTAACTTAAAAAAGAAAAAAAAAAAAAAATTGAGGAAAAAATCTACACTTAAAAAACATGTAAGATTTTTAAAAAAGAGAGGGCTAGTGCTCAATTTGCTAAAACAATCAGTGCTACCTTCCCAGGTGAGAATTCAAGGCTCTAAATCTCAGTGATGGGACAAGAGTAACCAGGTGGCCAACCTGATCCAGGACTCATTTTTCTCTTATATTCTCAGACTGAAGCACAGTTCATGTTGTTTCAGAAATTAGTCAACTGAGAAGAGGCAGAATTTCACTCTTTCCTACTGAAACCAAAGAACAGATAAGAAGGCTAATCTTAGACTGCACTTATTCCTATGTGCCCGGCTCTGCTGCAAAGATGATTTTAAGCATCTAATAAAATATGCACATTAAAGTAAGATACATTTAAAAACCACTTACATTTAAATCTCTTAAAAATCAGGTAACGGGGGAAAATAATTTTTCTACTTTCTTCATCTCAAAATAGATTTGAAAACATTTTTATTTTCAGAGTTTAAGAATAGTTAAGATTTAAATCCCAAAACTAATTAGAACAACTAAATCTAGTAGTTTTTGCTATAATTTTTTTACCTTTTAAGAGGTATTTGAGAAACATCAGTTTTCCTGCCAATGGCCATTGCTATAAGAAGCTCAGGAGGTATTTACTTGTACCTCCACACACCGATTATAACCTCCACAACCACTCTACTTGCCAAATAATACTCAAAGCACATTGAGCCAAAGCACTTATTTGGTTAAATGGATTAATGACAAGAATGAGGAAAGTCAGTCTTACCTTATAGCAAAGATACAGCAGTATTAATATCGGTACTGAATATCGAATTACACATATCTATGTAAGAAAGACACTATTTAGATTACAAGTATTTTGAATACTTTTGCATTATGGTTTTGTTTTGTAAACATATGGTTGTTTTCTTTTTAAGCAACAGAAACGCAATTTAATGAAGCCTAAGTCTCCAATATACAAAACAACTGGGTCGATGGAAGGCTTCCAATCATTTATATTTATAGCTTCTACCATATTGCCACCTAGTGAATTTATTGGGTAGAACAACTCAAAATTGCATTTGTAGGCTATTAATCATTACCACACTCTTAATAATGATTGTTTTTAGGAAAAATGCATTTGCATAATAACAGTGATAACTCTGGGTAACAGAATTATTGGGTGATTTTTTTATTTTCTTTTTTGTGCTTTTTAGTATTTCCAAATGAACACAGCTGACTTATGACCTGAGGAAAAAAACAATACATTTAAAATATAATTCCCTATACATTCACAATGTATCAATTACTTATTTCAGCTTCAAACTTTAGTGTCCATTTTATCAGACTGAGGTATGGGCAACTGTTGAAAAATAATGAATTGGTATGAAATGCAAAACAGGGACAACACTGACCCTCTTTGGGCTGTAAAGATGGACCAACTTCAGAAGTAACTCCCATATTTCAGGGCTGCACAAGCCAAATGATGCGAACACACACATGTGTGATGTCCACAGGTATTTCATTCTGTTAGAGCAGAAACAGGAAAAAGTCAGCAAATACTACCTGTGTATAAACGTGGAGTCTCATATTGCCATGAAAGCAGCGTTACAGTCTGCGGCAGCAGAATCTTACTGACACTCTGCAGAACCCGTCTACTGAAGAGCTAGTTATTGGCTTCATGCCCTCTGTGAACTATCACTTAAGTAAACTACAGGGGAATGTTTGTAATTAGAAAAAAATGAGTTATAAATAATATTTTATGCTGGGAAAAGACATTAGTAGGCAAAGGCAATTTTATGGGAATCATATTCATTAATGAAGATGGCTGTCAGCGTCCAAATTATATTTCTAAACTATGTCAAGTAAAGAATGGCTGAATTAAAAAATCAAACATACAGACAAGACAAGACGAAAATACCTCATTGTACTCAATGCCAAGAATCCAAACAGAATAGTATGTATTAAGTTGTAGGCAGTTTCTGGTTTCAGTTCAACTGTCCACTTTCCCATTTTACCCGTGGATTGTTGATTTGTTGAATCACTAAATAAAACAGCAAACACACAAAATTAAGCTGGATATGTAACTTTCATTTAGTTAGAATCTTCTTTAAAGAAGAATATACAAGAAACTTACGCTTTCATACATTTTAAAAAATGTATTATTTTCCTAAGATGAAATAAATAAGCACTGATCAATCTGGAATTTATGAGGCTAAAAGTGTCATATATAAATGCACTAATAATCAGAATAACTAGAATTTCACAACAGATTTCATTTTAAGTAAAAATTTAAAGTACTTCAATTCTTTAAATTGTAAGAGGGAAAAAAATCATTGAAACTGGAAGAGATTTCTAGAGATGTTTTATGAATCATTACTAGTATTTTGCAAGTTTTCACAAATAAGTAAAAGCAAAATGTATCCATAAACTTGAAACTTAGTCCTTGTATAAATCAATAACTATATTTTTAACCTACAAATACGTATGCCTAACAGATGATTTTTATCAAATATCAAACCAAAAACCAAACCTATTGCTGTCGAGTCCATTCTGACTCATAGCAACCAGCGATCCTACAGGAAAGAGTAGAACTGCCCCATAGGGTTTCCAAGGCTGTAATCTTTATGGAAGCAGACTGCCACATCCTTCTCCCACGAAGTGACTGCTGGGTTTGAACCACAGACCTATTGGTTAGCAACGAAGTGCTTAACCACTATGCCCCCAGGGCTCCTTTTATCAAATATAGTTACGTCAAAATTTTTACACCCAATAAAATTAGCAATAATTCCTTAACATCATCCAACACTCAGTTAATATTCCATTTTCCCTGTTCACTGCAATTGTTTTTTTCAGGTGGTTTCTTTGATTCAGGATCCAAAGCCTACACACTGCATTTCACTGATAAACCAAAAAACCAAACTCATTGCTGTCGAGTTGATTCTGACTCATAGAGACACTGTAGGACACAGCAGAACTGCCCCATAGCGTTTCCTAGGAGTGGCTGGTGGATTCGAACTGCCGACCTTTGGGTAGGCAGCTCTTAACCACTGTGCCACCGAGGCTCCATTTCATTGATATGTCTCTTTAAATATCTTTGAATCTGTAACAGTATCTCTTTCCTTTTTTTTTTTAAGGCCATATATTTGCTAAAGAAAATGTATCATTTGTCCTTAACTCTTCCCACCTCTGGATTTAGCTGACTGTCTCCTCAAAGTGGTGAGTCACACATTTCTCTGTTCCCATGTTTCCTATAAACTTGTAATTAGATCTAGAGGTTTACTAAGTGGAGTGGTTTTTTTGGCAAGGACACTGCATGGGGATATGGTGTACTTTGTATTGCATAACACTGGGAAGTACACACTGTCTGGCTGTCTCCACCTTAGTGATGTGAAGATTGATGAGTGGGTGTACATGTTATGCAATTTGTTGTCGAGGGGAAAGGAAAACAGTAGTAGGGCCGCCAGTTTAAGATAAAAACAACACTTTCTAAAGGCCCTACTGATCCTTCACACAATCCAATAGACTTGGATAGATATGGTGCTTCTCTGTGTAACTAGAGAACATTTATTTCCAAAAATCTTTCCACCATCCTAGATTCATAAGAAAATTAAAATGATAATATAAGGCAGTTTTCACCATTGATAGTCATCTTTTACTTAAATGCTATATATTACACCTGAGCTCTGGCTTCTCTACTGATACTAAAAGATTAGTCCAGACAAACGGAGAACGTATGCTCTCCTCTTCCTGTGACACCTGGGAGAATTCTGCAAGCCCCTCCCATCTCCCCACCAAGCTGAAAGGCTCTCTCTCATTAACCCCGAGTACAGACCACAGTTCCTCTTTTAGTTCTATCCCTCATGCTAATGCAGACATGTTGTATAAACGTAAGAGTATCATCCTTCCTAGTACTAAAAAGGTAGAAATACTTGGCATTGATAAAATACCTTAAAATTACTTAAAAGTTAATTCATATTACCAAACCAAAAAAAAAACCAAACCCACTGCTGTCGAGTAGATTCTGACTCATAGTGACCCTGCAGGACAGAGTAGAACTGTCCCGTAGGGTTTCCAAGGCTGTAATCTTTACAGAAGCAGACTGCCACCTCTTTCTCCCGTGGAGCAGCTCGTGGGTTTGAACCGCTGACCTTTCAATTAGCAGCCTAGGACTTAACCACTGCGCCTCCAGGGCTCCCTTAATTCATATTATGACACTATAATTCTTAAATTACTTTAATTAACGTAGTGCTTTTTTCTCTAACAAAAGTCCTAATATCCCTACCTGGCAGATGAGGATGCTCTAAACTCTGTATCTACAATCATATGCCAAATCAGCTTCCAGAGACGGCTCATAGTTTCTGAGCATGGCAGACACTTCACAAAGATACTGCGGGCCCAATGCACCTCCTGATTTGTATGCAGTCTAGTGTCCTATCCACACTTGGTGTGTCTGGAACAATATTAAACCACACTGTCTAGAATAATTTCCATCTATTTTCACAGGGCTAAATTTTATCTTGGGCTAGGTATAAAGAAGAACCCTTCTGAAAGATACTAAAGTAGTTTATAGTCAATGAAATAGTTTCATGGTTCAGTGTTGCTTCATTCTTAACCACGAAGCACCTCAACCGATCTGGCCTCATTTTAATGACTTTCTCCCGTCAGGGCTCTCTGGTGGCTGTGAATCACAGTTCACTGGCACCTTAATTGGCAAGGTAACTATACAGAAAAAGGCCTTCCTTGTGAGCTTCATTAAGTTTTCACAAATGACAGCAGCTTCAACTTCTTACACTTAATTTTCTTTCCATTTAATATGGATAGTAAATGCAAAAACCTCCATCAGCTTGAGAGGAAGGTACTGTGACAAGTTTTTTAAAAGCCTGAATATTCTTCGACTTTTTCTTTCAATAGATTAGTAGACATGCTAAGTTTTTAAAAAAGGCAATTAATTACTTAAGAGTTTTAGCAGATGTTAATAATTATAGTCCACTCCAACTTTATGAGCCCTGAAACAAGATGCAACAAAATGAACAAGTTAATTCTTCATATTTCATGAGAAATTTAAAAAAAAGGGGGGGGGGGCAAACTAGAGAAAGGTAGAAAAACAAATGAAACTAATAATGGAACAAAATGGAGACTTAAAAGTCAATAATAATAATAACAGCTAATGATAGCAAACATCTACAAAATATTCTAGACATAACGCATTACTTTAAGCACTTTATGTTGTTTTGACTTATTTCTCACAAAACCCTGTAGAGTAAATACTCTTAGTATTACTTGAACAGATAAAGAAGTGGAAATAGCGAAAGGCTGGTTCTATAACTGGCTCAAAGATCCTATCATTCCCAAGTGTACACAGCCAGGACTGAAAGCCAGGTCAGTCTGTACCCGTATCCACTACTCTTAACACAGACATCTGAGAGTGGAACCCACTTGAAACCGGAAATCTTCCTCCTATAAGGTGAATAATACTGCTCTGTTCTGTGTCTGATATTTTGATTTTCAACTTAGCAGTTTTTCTGCAACACAGAACAAATGTATTAAAAAAGAGTGTCACATGTCTGAACTATGCCATACCTGAGATTATGAAAGGCAACTGCTATAGCTGCAATCACTGTGACGGACAGAACAAACACATAAGCATAAAAAAGCAGAGTACTGGAAAGCCTTTCAAATGTATTAAAAGGCAGGAGACCAAAAGCTTCTTCACACAGATACAGATTGGCATCAAAATCTCTAGAGAACAAATGGAAAGCAAAGTATTAAATTTAATCCAAGGCAAGTAAACTACATTACATTTTTCCTCAAAAAGAGCCTGCAATTAAGTTGAAAGTACAATGACGACTGAAGTTTTAAAGTCCTTGCTGATTGAATGCAAAATAACAAACACAGATTATCGATTCAGACATACCTTGTTGCTCCAAACCCAAATTTTGCCTTCAGAAATTTAAATATGTGTTCATCTGACTTCAGGTTTAGAATTTTCTATTGGGGAGGGAAAAAACAAAAATGGCTATTAATGCCTTAGATGGCTTCCTGATCATCCCCCACTGGAAAAAAATACAAAAATAAATGTTCATGATAGTTCATGTCTCAAGCAGGAACTTTCAAACTTCCTGCTCTCCCTCCGCCCTCCCCTTGTAAAAAACAGAATCCTCTTTTCACACAAACTTGCATGTGTAAGTTCAATACGTAAAACAGATTTATAAATACACTGTTCGGGTTTTAGGGAGAGGGAGAAGGCTGAAGCACAGTGAGTATAATCTTTTTGACCAGAAAGCCAACATGACGATCTGAAACTTCAGAATTTGTACTAGGTCTACAGACTACAGGGCCTGTGTGGCTCTGAGGTTTTGTGACTGCAGATATAAATGACGGAAGACTCGTTTACCTAAAGACAATTCAAGACACACCAGGGATCCTCAAGGGGGTGAATGGAAAAATGCTAGGGTCCATCATTAGTGATTATAATTTTAATTTATATAATTTTATTTTTAATTTATAGCTTAGAAAACGCCATACAACATAAATGGGTGAAGAAATTGAACTGGTAGAAAAATGAAGATAGAAAAAATAAGATGAAGCCAGAACTGAGGTTAGTACACATAATATGTTCATTACAGTATCATTATTATTATCATTAGTACTGACAGCATCATTAGAATAGAACTGCCCCTTAGGGTTTCCAAGCAGTGGCTGGTGGATTCAAACTGCCAACCTTTTGGTTAGCAGCTGTACCTCTTAACCACTGCACCACCAGGGCTCATTCATTAGAGATGAGCCATACATCTGTGCGTAAGCATTCTAGCACAAATGCAAAGAGGGAGATAAAGCATCATTTTACCTGCAGGGTTGTAAGATTAAAACAAACCACTAGCTAAGAAGAGATCCTAACAGTTGCAGAACTGAGACTCAAGAGAAAGTTTCTCCCATGGGTAGCGTAAAAACAGCAAGGAGTTTCATAGGACTGGGTCTTCTAATTCCTCTCACTGTAGGTCGCTGGCAAATCATCAACTGCAATTCAACAGAGTTATCCTTTGGGAAGTCAAAACACAGTGGTCCTGGTTCTCTACTGGTCTGGCTTAATCTAAGAAGAGATCACTGAGAATCCAGAGAGGGCAAATGGATCAACTACTTATCTTCCAAAAACACTGACTGTTCTACTCAAGTCCTGAACTTCATGGAGTTAAGAACATACTGACAAGGATCTGGAGTGGAGGTTTTGAACGTAGCTGGTTGAGGGAAGATTCCTTTCCTCTGACAGCCAGCACACAAGTGGAACCACTATCCCCTTAGGAAGGAGCAGGAGCGTGTATCTGCTGTCACAATATCATTTTCTAGGAGGGGCAAAATCACCTCAAGAAATTATTGTGGTTCTGCTCTAGCATAAAAGCATATGGGACAAGTCCTAAAGCTATACCCTTACCATTGAGTAAAGCCTGCCCTCAAAAAAATATTAGTCTGAAAAAGTATTAAAAAGCATGTTCAACTAAGCAGCCTTCGATGGCACTTAAAAACCCTTAGCAAAGCACCTACTGAACATATAAGAAATGAATACTTGAGTTACTAACTGAATTATTTTGCTGTATAACCCAAAACCAAACCCACTGTCACTGAGTCGATTCCGACATAGCGACCCTATAGGACAGAGGAGAACTACCTCATAGTAGTTCCAAGGGGCAGCTGGTGAATTCAAACTGCCGACCTTTTGGTTAGCAGCCAATCTCTTAACCACTGTGTCACCAGGGCTCCGTGTTGCTGTGTAGGGTTGTTAATTTTAAGTAAGTTGAATGTTGGAGAGCATCTACCACAAGTGAGTGCTACTGTTCTTTCTAGCCAGAATTACACAGTATGGCCCGTTTACTAACTTAACCCAATAAGAATCATGTTATCTTTTTTTCTTTTTTAAGTACCATAGTGTAGAAAATTATCTCTAAAAATCAGATTTTTTTTTTTTTTAATTTAGAGAAATACTTGTTTAATGCTTTTAAAGTTGGGCTTTTAAAAAGTTTAACAACTCAAAAGGTAAGTTCAATGTAGACCATGTTAAACAGGAGTGAAAAGAAATCAATGACTAACATCAAGAAAATAATCCTTGTCACTGAAACAAAGCTAAAACTGAGCTTGTTATAAAGTAAAAGTAACTCTTCAGCAATGCTGATACACTTCGTAAAGTAAGAATTAAATTACGTGAAACTGAAGTTTAAAAAATTCCCCCCATATCACTAATTTGTGTAGAAATTGTCACGTATGAACCTAATTTGCTGTGTAAACTTTCACCTTAAACACAATAAAATATGTAAAAAAATTCTCTCCAATGGCATGAGTAAATTAAAAAATACATTAAATGTCATTTTATTAACCTACCTTAATAATGTTGTTGAGAAAAAGTGTCAAACATAAAACCATGAATAAATGTAATAGAAGTTTCCCAAGCCTATGAAAGAAGCTTCCAGTTTTCAGATTTTTCTAGAAATTAAAAGAGTTGTGTTTTAATTCTTAAATTTTTAACGTAACTTCATAAACACTTAAGATGAGATTACTTAAGGACTTAAAACACTGGATCATGCAATATACATGTGCAAATTTATGTGGAATATCTAACCTATTAATCTTCATTACTCACTCAGTGGAGCTGCGGAAGAAAGAACCTGGCGATTAGCTGTCATAAAGATTAAAAAAAAAAACAACAAAAAACCGAACCTGTTGCCATCGAGTTGATTCCAACGCATGGTGACCCCATGTGTTATAGAGTAGAACTGCTCCATAGGGTTTTCTTGGCTGTAATCTTCATAGAAACAGATGACCGGGCCTTTCTTTCATGGTGCCACTGGGTAGGTCTGAACCACCAACCTTTAGCTTGCAGACCACCTGCACCACCCAGGGACCTTCCATAAAGATCACAGCCAAGAAAACCCTATGGAGCAGTTCTATTCTTGAACACATGGTATTGTCATGAGTCAGAATCGACTTCATGTCAATAGGTGGATTAATCCTCATATTACATTGTCTTAATATTTGTAATAGTAAACGGATACCTTAATAATGAGCTCCACTAGATGAGGAAATATGTCCTACTCTTTTATTTTTCTTATACCTTTACAACCAGAGTATGCGGTCTATACTTGGAAGGTGCTTGGGATATGTTTACTGAACAAATCTTTACATAATTTATTCATTAATTCATCTATCATAGACATAGTTATAATGCAATTAAATAAAAAAGCTAACAGTACAGAAAAAAGTAAACTTTGCTCTTTGACATATAATAGTTTTCTTATAATTCTTAGATAATGTTAGAGATTGTCAAATATAATTAGTATCTACAGAGTTTAAATATGAGCAACACTTATTTATAATTGAAGTCAAAAGGATACACAAACTATTGTTTTTAGATAGTGAATTCATTATTTTTGGGGCAGTTTTCCCACAGCATCTCTTACTCAAAAGACTAACATGAAAAGGGATTTATTTTTCCAAAAGCAGAGAACAAAATGATTTCTTGATACAGAAATAGTTCTAGCATATGAGAAAGAAACAGCTTTGTCACAATATTAAGGAAAAACAAGTGACTCTTAAATCTCATGTAAATTTAAGAAACTTTAACTATATGATAATGCCAAAAGATCAGGTCAATGTTTCAAATATGACTTTATTATACTCTAGGGGGTATCCCATTATTTCTAAAGGAATTTATCTGGATCCTCAAAAATTTCTCAAAACAGAGTTAATTTTACCTGACTTAAAAATTAATAAATGGTATGAAGGGAGGGGGGAGAGGGTGGTGTTACTTCATCAAACCACAAAGTGTCTGCCGACTTGAAAGACTGTGGTGAGTACATTCCCACAAGCAACCAATTCTTCTGATAAATCTTGAGTTCACACACAAAGTTAAAAAAAATTTTTTTCTTTTACTTCAATTTTAAATCAATGGCATTTAACTAAGCATCTCTGGCTAATGCCTTAATGAATTAAGATTTCAATTCCCTAAAAAAAAAAAAAAGAAAAAAAAATTGCACACGACCCCAGAGAGATTGAAAACAGAAATATCACACCATGAGCGTCACTAAAATGCAAGCGACACCACCGGTGCCTGCTAGGGGGAATCTGGTCCTCACTTTTCCTCCACAGGCTGTACAAAGTAAGGGTCAACCAACCAACCAATTTTCCAAGAAAGTTTAATTAAAGGCAGAAAAAGTCCTACCTGAAGTTTTCTTGAAATTAATACTGAAAGATTAAAGCTTATAAGCAATGATCCAAGAATCATGGAATTAAAAAACTGCAGAATGCAGACCAGGAATAAACTTGTGATCTGTATACCGTACAGCCATGTCACCTGCAACGACCAGACAGTAGGTGGCTGAGCAGACTTTATCGAGACAACCATGTGCTGACATTCTGGTCACCGGAACGATGCACCTCAGGTTACAAATAACGCAAAAGACACACCTAGCTTCAGGAAACACAATCTAAGACAGGAAACCAAACCGTATACATACCAGTTGTTTCTTCAGCTTTTAATACCAGAATACTTTCTATTTGATAATAACATTAACTAAATGAACAGGGATAATATAAAGTGGAGGAAGCAAACAGCAAACGGTATCAATGTCGTCTCAGAATCGTCACATGCAGTTTGGAATCTTCGGTTCTCTCCTCAATTCCTGTACAATTACTCTCTAAAGCCAATAATCACTACCCTATTGTATTCCGATATTTCCTAATTTTCCATATTATACGTTTCAGGACTATCATTTACTGCTTCATTCTGTATGTATGTGTGCCTGATCCCCCTGACTAGGCTGAAAACTCCTTCTGCAAGGCCATTTACTCTGTCACCTCACAGGTTCGTAGCAGGCAGCAGAGTGTAGTGGTCAAGAATATGGGCCACAGAGTCCACAGTCCTGCAGTGTGGTCCTGATTCTGCCAGGTACCAGCTGTGGGACCTCAGTGTGCTGGAACGGGTTCATTTTTAAACAAGAGGTGATTACGCCTTCCTCACAGAGTTGTTGTTAAGGATCTGGTGTAGAAACTGAACGTGCTGAAGTATTAAAATGCCTGGACATAATAAGCACTCACTAAAGACAACTTTTATGTAATAAAAATTGTTGACACTTTGACACTGAAAGAAACAAGACCGACTTGAATATAAAAAAACACATCACAAAGAAAAAAAGACAGTCCTTGATAAAGGGTTGATACTTTGTTAGTTTTCTTCTTCTCTTTCAAATTAGCCAATTCCATACTCATACTGACATATAAAAATAAGTTTCATTCAGCAGAACATCAGATTTTCCCATAATTTTATTTTCTTAATCTCAAAGGAAACAAACTACATCGAGCATTTAAAAGTGAGGCAGGCAACAGTTCAGTGCCGTTGTTTGGTGTTAATGGAAATGCTCGGAAATGGACGCTTGTGGTTCTTATGGTTATAAAGATAATGTATCTACTGTAAAGATTTAGTAAATTCAGAAAACATAAGAAGAAAACAGTAATCAATAGAAAGGTGGGCTCTAGACTCAAAACTCAACATCACTGCCTACAGAAATAATACTGATTTAATAATGGTGTACGATATTTCATATAACGTTTTATTTATTTCATATTACAATGTATAATTTTCTCACATCACTGCCTATTCTGTGAAAATTTAATTTTAAATGGCTACATACATTCTGGAGTCCCTGAGTGGTGTGAAGGGTGAAGGCGCTCGGCTACAAAGGTTGGAGGTTTGAGCTCACCCAGAGGTACCTCGGGAGAAAGGCCATTGAAAGCCCTACGTAGCAGAGTTCTACACTCTGTAACACGTGAGGTTGGCATGAGTCAGAACTGACTCAAAAGCAACTGATGATTGGTACGTACATTCCACCATATGGATGTGCCACAATTTATCTGCTGCTGGATCATTTGGGTTGTTTTCAGTTTTTTTTTATTATTATTTATTGAAATTAATGTTGTTATGAACATTCTTTTAAAAAAATCCTCAGGTCATGTTATCTGATTACTTCCTTACTTTGTTCGTTGCTATATCCTCAGCACCTGAAACACTGCACACTACAGCACAGTAGTCACTCCACAAATACTGAAGAAATGAATGAATGCACTTCCTTATACATACCTGTGTACGTGTGTGTATATATATACTCACACATCTACATATATATATTCAGAATATATGGATTCTGAAAGTCTCTTATCAGATATATAACTTACGAATATTTCCTCCTATTATGTAGGTTGTGCTCTCTAACAGTTTTACGGTTTTACCTCTTATATTTAGGTCAGTGATCCATTATGAGTTAATTTTTACGTATGATGTGACGAAGGGGCCCAACTTCATTCTTTTGTACACGGATATCCAGTTGTCCTGGGACGATGTGTTGAAAAGACTATTCTTTCTCTTTAATTTCTATGGCACCCTTGTTGGAAATCAATTGGCCATAAATGTTAAGGGTTTAATTCTGGACTCTCAATTCTATTCCATTGACCTGTATGTCTATCCTTAGGCCAGTACCACATTCTTGATTACTGTAGGTTTAGAGTAAGTTTTAAAATCAGGAAGCATGATTTCTCTGTATGTTTTCTTCTTTTTCAAGACTGTTCTGGTTATTCTGGGGCCCTTGAGTTTCCATGTGAATTTTAGGATCAGCTTGGCAGTTTCTCCAAAAAAACCCACTTCAGATTCTGAAATAAATTGCACTGAATTTATAGATATATTTGGGAAGTATTACTATCTAACAGTAAGTGTTCTGATCCACAAATATGGGATACTTTTCATTTATTTAGGGTTTAATTTCTTTCAACAAAGTTTTGTAGCTTTCAGAATACAAGTTTTGTACTTTTTTGGTTAAATTTACACGTAAATATTTTATTCTTTTTGATGCTATTCCTTCTGGGAAGTGTTTGTATCCTCTACTCCCTTTTCTATTGGGTTGTAAACATTTCTCTCACTGATTTGTAGAAAAATTTTAAGGATAACAACTCATTCTCCAATACTTTTTTCAAATAAAAAATGTTTTTGCCTTTTTTTGGGTTGTGGTGTTTTTTGATACTGGTATTTCTTTTTATATCAAGTAGGCACACTTTACTACTAGAAAAAGTGCAGCTTATGTGACAAGTTTGCATAGCTTTATAAATGTAATGATTTCTTAGGTTCAAGACAGAACATTGCTGGTGAGCAGCCAGAAATGTGTAACTAAGCAGTACTGTATATTGGAAAGCCCTGGATTATCGTGGTATACCTGATGTTTCTTCTCAGGTGCTATTAGTACAGTACAGTTTAGAAACCAGGTAGCAGTAATCTATATTCTGTGTGTAAAAACTGGAATCCTCTTCAATGGATCATGCTACTGATCTTCATCATCATTCATAATCACCGTAGTTAACATGTATTTGTTGCTGTTGCTGTCGACTTGGTTCCGACTGATAGCGACCCTGTGTACAACAGAACGAAACACTGCCCCGTCCAGTGCCATTCTCACAATCGTTGTTATGCTTGAGCCCACTGTTGCAGCCACTGTGCCAATTCATCTCGTTGAGGGTCCTCTTTTTCGCTGACCTTCTACTCTACCAAGCAAGATGTCCTTAACATTCATAAAATACCTGGCACTGTTCTTAGCGATTCGTATATATTAACTCATTCAAATCCAGGCAATCTGGCTCTAGAATCTGTGTCTTAACCAACATTGTATAGTGCCTAGAACATAAGTAGTGCCTTTAGTATCAAAGTCTGTTAAGATTCAAAACTTTTTAATGCTCCAAGGCAATGACTGCATCTTGCTAGATGCTATTCAGTTTTATTATCTTTTTTAAAGAATTAAATTTTTATCTCATAGATTCTACTGTTTTTTTTTCCCCCCAATTTCATTTGGTTTTGTTATTATCTTTATTATTTTTTTTCTCTTCTTCCTTTGGGCTTCCTTTGCTCTTCTTTTTCTAATTTCTTAAGGTGGGAGCTTAAATGATTGATTTCAGACGTACTGTCTTTTCTAACGGAAGCAGAGTGCTTAAATTCCCTGCTTTAACCACACCACACAAATTTTGATATGGTGTGTTTTTCATTTTCACTCAGTCCAACGCTCCCTAAAGTTTCCTCTTTGATTCATGGCTTATTTAGAAGTGTGTTGTTTAGTTTCTAAAAGTTGGAGGTCTTCCTATTATCTTTCTGTTACTGACTTCTGGTTTGAATACACTGTGGTCAGACAGTACATTCCATATGACCTCAATTCTTCTAAATTTGTTGAGGTTTATCTCCTGACCCACCTTGGTAAGTGTTCCATGGGCACTTGAAAAGAGCGGACATTCTGCTGTTGTTGGGTGGAGTGTTCCATAAATGTTGATTAGATCCTGCTGGTGGATGGTGCTGTTGACTTCTACATCCTTGCTGATTTTCTGTTTGGTTGCTCTATCAGTGTTGATAGAACGGATGTTGAAGTCTCCAACTGTAATTGTGGATTTGTCTATTTCTTCCTTCAGTTCTGTTTTTGTTTCATATACTTTGTAATTTTATTGTTTGATGCTTACACAGTGAGGTCAGCCTTGTTGGTAGGCTGACCCTTTTATAGTTATATAATGTCCCTGATAATTTTCTTTGCTCTGATGTCTACTTCCTCTGATATTAACACGAATATTCTTGCATGGCATATCTTTTTCCATCCTTTTACTTTCAACCTGCCTATACTGCTATGTTTGAAGAGCTTCTTGTAGACAGTATATAGTTGGGTTGCGGTTTTTAACCCACTCTGTCCATCTCTATCTTTTAATTAGTGTATTTAGGTCATATAATGTAATTACTGATACATGTTAGGGCTTAAATCTGCCATTTTATTTGTTTCTGGTTTGTTCTTTCAGCTTTTCTTCTCTTTTTCCTGTCTTCCTGTGGGTTACTTGAACAATTTTTGAATTCCATTTTTATTTATCTATAGTGTTTTTTGGTGTATCTCTGTGTATAGATTTTTTAGTGGTTGCTCTGTGTATTATACATTCATAACTTAGTCTACTGTTATTTATTAAATTTTATTGTGTTTAAGGTGGAAGTTTACAGGACAAATTAGTTTTTCATTCAAAAATGTATACACAAATTATTTTGTGACATTGGTTGCAATCTCCACAATGTGTCAGCACTCTCCCCTTTCCCCTATCCTCCCTGGGTTCCCCGTGTCTATTTGTCCTGTTTTCCTATCCCTTTCTGCCTTCTTGTCTTGGCTTTTTGGCAGGTTTGCCCATTTGGTCTCCTATATTTGATTGAACTACGAAGCACGTTCCTCACATGTGTTACTGTTTGTTTTATAGGCCTGTCTAATCTTTGGCTGAAAGGCAGACTTCGGGAGCAGCTTC